GCGATAATTGTCGCGATATATCTTCAGAAATAAATATTGGCTCTAAATACACCCACTCCTTTTAAATAATATTGATTATGGTACAAAATGTATGCAATATAATAATATACATAAAGAAATACTTTAAAACATACTTTTGACATATAATCCATTCTTCAACAACGTTTTGTGTAAGCTTATCATCCCATTCCCGTATTCGTAGCTCAAACGCTGCTTTGAAAGGACTGAATCCTAATTGTTGTGTAGTTAAAAGTTTTTCATCCAATAGTTGGGGAGTTTCATCAGCAATCTTCATTATAAACGTGCCTGTAAATTAGATTATAGACGCTTGATAAATATTTAAATAAGCCGTTACTTTATTAATTCTCAACTGCAGTGCTACACAGTTCTGCTTAGAAATAATTTAGAACAATTTATTTAAATACCTATCTTAGAAATTAGTCCAACACAAATTAATGACAAGCAATAATGACATGAGGCTATATATATTTCGAATGTTCTACCAGTGTTTTTATATGGAGACACTTCCATCGTCTTGGCCGCCCGGTCGTTAAGCATTATATCGAGTGCCTGTTCTATGACCTACTCTTTGCTTGCTAGTTCACCAATCTCAGCTATCAGTTCAGCATGTTGAGCCACTCCTTGCTTCACACACATTGCAAACGTCTGTTTCTCGTTCATTGTTACAGAAATACCTATATTTCAATATTCATATTATCAAAAAAAAAATCATTTTCGTTCAACATTTTATTTGAATTCAACCAGTTATTTTATATATTTGATATTTGTGTGAAATAAGTGGCACATTAAATCAAATTTCAAGAATAAAACTAAGTCAATCATAAGGTTCTGGTGCTTCAATTTGAAAACCTCTTGATATAACGAAAAAATACGAAGACATTAATGTATAAAATAAATAAAATAATATATCATTTAAACAAAAAGAACGGTGTTTCTTTTAAAACTACAGCTTTATTACAACTCAACTAGTGGATTTTTTTACCAAAGATAATTTGTATTGCTTTTAAATGTGAGGCATAAAATTTTAAAATACATTCGAAATACAGCTGATAGACGGAACGTTCCAAAATAACTTACATATGTATGAATGTTACAAACCAGCTTTTTCCATGAATTCATTCCAGTGTCGTTCTTTCATTCCAGGATTCCTAACAGCTTGGATAACTGGTATCAACGAGTTAAACTCTTCCATATCATCCTGTTAACAAAGATATAATACTATAGTAATATTGTCAATAAAGTCACTAAACACATTGAAATCAGGTCCATATATCTTTATAATATGTATAATTTACCTATTTTGTTTGTAAAATTGTGTAAAACATTATAATAAAATATAAACATAAAATATATTTTAATTATTAGTTACTTCTATTTATATAATTTCTAAAATAAGTGAGATGATTCAATAATTTTATCCTGAAAAAACCCACGGCTACATATACATAGGTTGTTAATTAGGTATATGGAAAAGTAATATGGGCGAACAAAGGCCGGGCCAAATGTTTATGACTAAAATTAAACTATTATCAAAATAAGTTAGAACAAAAGAAATTCACAAGGTTGTCAAACTAAATATAAGGTTTTAATTTAAAATAATATCTATGGAATAAATACTAAATATAATGAATTTCTTGGTTTCTTCGTGAATCGGTTTTTTAGTTTTTCAAGCGCTTTTAAAAACTATTTATGGCCTCAATTTTTTTTATGGTTCCTTAATCAGCTCAATAACTTACGTCAAGCCAGAAGCATATAGTTAGGATCTGATTGTATATGTAAGGAGTGACTTGATAACAATTCTAAGGAGTAATTGGATGACGTTTGTTTAATCACGGATCTAAAATTGAATGTTGTTACTTAGTAAATGTAATATTGTGATAAAGTTGTACTCGTCGAACCGAATCACCAAGGAAATAATCTATATTTTCGTCTACCTAAACACCAGTTTTATCATGTAGTGCTAATGTATTTTTAGAAAGAAGTTTATGAATAGTTTTTTTTTTTATAATAGGATAGATGACTTAAATCAATTTAATCACTGGTGATGAACGAGAAGAAGTCAATCAATAAAATATATATGTATTAAAATAATAAAAAAATAAAATCATACCGAGTCAATCTTCACCCGAAGTTTGTCAAAGAGTTAGAAGCAGCGGTGACAGTGTTTTACGAAACTTTTTCACTGAAAGTATGTATAGTCAATCTAGCGTCCACATCAAATTACACAAAAACATTGTTACTAATGTCTTATTTCACAATTTATTGTTCTGATGACAAATGAATATCGATTACACTTTATTAATACAGTCCTTAAGAAAGCGAACTGACTTAAAATGCATTAGTTACTCCATATATTACATAGTTTTGTTTTTATCCTATCACAAATAAATTACATCTACCCTCATAATATTTGCTAATGCAAATTATCCATATAACTATGTATTTTCATTCAAAATGTTCAATAAATTTAAACATTTTCAATAAAGCAATTTTTGAACCACTTAACATTAATAAGTAACTCGTAATAAATTTAAAATAAATATTTAATATACTAATAATTAATTAATTTATGAGAGCTGGTAACATTTCATGACGATTCTACCTTATGTTATCTTCTCTGAATTAATGTCACACTTAAACAGAACTTTCTTAAAAATCAACATAAAAATAACTACTGAGTCTATTACTTATTTTAGAAATATACGAAAATTTTTACAAGCTTTAGATCTTTGTTTTAGAAACAATGATTAATTATGATCATAATAACTATTAGCAACAAAATAAAAACGAAATTATGGTACATGTAATAAATAACAGAGAGATACAGGAATGCCTCTCTGTAAAATAAAAAGAGGAATAGGAGATGTTTAACTGGAATAGTAAAATAGATCTAACTTATAAATCAAGAAAGCAAATTGCTTTCCAAATTCCAATGAAAGAAGTTAATTTATTACATTAAAAATATACACAGTATGTATTGTTTTTAGTCCAATGGATAAGTGTAAATTTTAATTTTGTACTGTTGAATTGTTTGAATACGAATTAAAATCAGTTTATGTATACAATTTAGGACCTAAACATCATATATGTACTTCGTAAGTAAATTTAGTTTAGATTATTTCAAATACTTGTTATAAATAAAAAAGTCTTTAATATTAAAGTTGTTTGAAGTATTATACATAGTATTGTTCTAAGGAAAAGTATTAAATTGAATAAGAAAAATGAAAATGAAACTTTCTGATATTTTTAAGATCAATAAAACCGTAAAAAAACCTGCGTGTATTGATTTTATCTCAAAATTACATCGCTTTTAGTTCTCAAAATATACTACATATATAATTTGAAAGAAGCAATGTATAATCAAAATTGTGCTTACAAGAACGTATGTATTAAAAATATGCATACCCCTTATACGTTATCCTTGAATTTTTACTAAATACGTAAGTGTTCCAGGCAGTATTTTTTGATATGGTCATGACAACTGGTGCTTTCAAGGACGTGCGCTTATATGACAAATAAAAGAATTGAAAATAAACTGATCACCAAAATTGTCAAACGTTGTTGTATAGAAAAAAATAGTTGGATATAAAATGTCACTTAGGAAAAGGGAATAACAAATTAAAAAGTGAACTGTCAAAAATACTTTGTACTTTGATATTTAAAAAATGATTTCGAAGTGCTCAACAAAAGTCAATCAAGGAATAGATTTTTCAATAGAAATTTAATCAAAATAAAAGTATAGTAATAAAGTATGACGTTTATGTAAACTATGAACATTATATCAATTCTGAATCGGTTTTTTTGAATTTCTTTCAAAAACAATGACGCTACATCTCATTCCAGACTTGTTTTTTGTAACAAACGCATGGTACTTCAGAAACAATTATTTTGCCATACATAAAATTGATATATATTTTTATTATTAATTGTTATTTCGTCTCCTGCTTTCATGTTTTATTTAATATTTTTTATAATACACGAGTTATAATATAATATGGGTTGATAAAGTTTTGTATATCATCGTAATATTATAAGAAGATACTAATAAAGGTAGCTTCTACGTTATTAAACGGCTCTTCATGTATATTATTTAATTTAATAATCGATCTATGAAATATGTTTCGAGACAAGATTATCTATACATATAATAAAATTCTAGAAAAGTGCTGTCTGTACATTGAAAATAAAAATAAAAAAAATAGCAGAGATTATTTAAGTTTTTCTACTGTTGTTTACTAATTTGGGTGCGCTAATTTTAAATCTGACCTCAGATTTTTTGTAGCAGCTCTAGTTAGTCAGATACAGGTCCGTCTTGAATTTACATAAGTTGTCAATAGTTTCTACCAATAGCGGTGTAACTTAACTAGTCCCTTTATAAATTTCATTATGTCTTTCTCAAGAAGTACGTGTTTAAATAATCCTGAGTGTTTTTGTGCTATTTGCGGATAATATATGTTCCAAAAATGTCGTTTAAGTGTGACAGACTTTGTAAAAAAGGCAGACTTAGACTGCTTTGGGTTTCCGTTGCCATCAAACGCTAAACCTGTGATACCAATTTTGGTGTGTAAAAGTTGTGTTGAATCTTTGCGATTATAGGCAAACAAAAAAAGACCAAATTTTAAGGACAAATCTCCCATGATGTGGCGTGAACCACTCAACCATCATGACGATTTTTATTTTTGTGTAACGAAAATCATAGGAATAAACCATAAAAATTGCCCTAAGTGGATATATTCAAACTAAAAATCTGTCGTAAGACCAGTCTTGAGTATTAGTGACACATCAACACCACAGCAGCCTTGTAGATCTTCGGAAATTCAGACCAGTGCAGCGGACAAACCGAAACGACGACAGTGGTAGAGACAATAGTCCCCGATCACTAAATAAAGATAGTCTAAATGACTTGATCAGGGACCTTGGCCTGTCTAAAAGTTGATAGATAATAAAAATTTCATCAACCATATGACAGCTATTGAGAAATGTGCATGGGAAGAGTTTGTTTGAGTAGTGAGAATTTTTTTGAGAATACAAAGTCTGACGGCTACATTCAGCACGTTGAACAGTTGCTGTTACACTTCCAGCGGCTTGGATGCAACATGAGTATAAAGCTTCACTACCTCCACAGCGATCTAGACTATTTTCCTGAAAATCTCGGTGACCTAAGCCAGGAACAAGGAGAGCGCTTTCAACAGGATATTCGCGCTATGGAGAACAGGTATCAGGGGTACTGGAAGGAATATATGATGGCTGATTATTGTTGGAGCATTCAAAATAGTACTCTCACTCTAGAAAATCCACAAAAAGGAAATTTTATTCCGAATAAATATATTTAATAATTTTTTAAACTTAAATTTTGTGCGTTTTTAATGAAAAACCCTGTCTCTTCATAACTCCAAAACTAGAGCTGCTACATAAAAACGGCATATATTTTTGAAATCAGCACGGAAAAACTATTCAGATTCATGTAAAAAATCTCATGCAACAGACATGCAGTTTTCCAGTGTAATCAATCTAAAAATAATAAAATTAATAAATTTAAAAAATTAACGGATAAAATTATAGATAGAAATAACAATGGCAATAATTATAATTTTAATTTAAGTCGGGCAACACAGTCACCAGTGACTGTTGTCAATCTGTCAAAGCAAACTTTAGATAAACAAACCGTTGAGATCCTTAAAAAAGGTTTAAATTTTGCACCTGCACCTTCAAAATTACCGTTCGAAGACATTATCTGTAACGTTGAGGAATGTCTTCATAAGAATCATGTCACGAAAGAAGAGTCTGAGGCAATCCGGCAGGACGTATCATATGTTCTGCGCCGGAGCAAATTGCCTCAACAAAACATCTCTCGTCAGGAATCAGTTGCACTAAAACACCTACGCAACAATGAAGACCTGACTGTCCTCCGTGCAGATAAAGGGAACGCGACCGTAGTAATGGATACGAGTGATTATGATAGTAAAATAACTGAAATTCTTGCGGATAATTCTGTCTATAAAAAAGTTAACAAAGACCCGACCAGTAAAGTTTTAACGGAAACAAAATTATTAATTAATAAATACAGTTCCAAACTCAATCTGGATATCAAATCACTCGTACCATCGTGTTCAAAACCACCAAAATTGTATGGGTTACCTAAAATCCATAAACAAGATGTTCCATTACGGCCAATTGTAAGCCAGATTGATTCACCAACTTATAAACTGGCTAAATTCCTTTCAAAGATTTTATCACCACTCCGGGGCCACACAAAGTCATTTGTTAAGGATTCCTACCAGTTTGTCAATGACATTAAACACCTAAAATTGACAGACAATGACATTATGGTCAGTTTCGATGTACAGTCATTATTCACTAATCTACCTGTTCTTGACTGCATTGAGATTGTAAGAGGTAAGTTAAAGGATAATAAGATGCCTATTGAATATGCAGAATTGTTAAAGCACTGCCTAACATCTGGCTATCTCATGTGGAAGGATGAATTCTACATACAAGTAGATGGAGTAGCAATTGGTTCGCCGGTTTCCCCCGTTGTCGCAGATATATTCATGGAAGACTTCGAGGTGCGAGCCCTTAGCTCTCCTACAATAAGACCCTTAATTTATAAACGCTATGTAGATGACACTTTCACAATATTAAATAAAAACAAAACATCTGCTTTCTTGAACCATCTTAATTCTATCAATAATAAGATCCAGTTTACTATAGAATTAGAGGCAAATAATTCTTTAGCTTTCCTTGATATACTGGTCATCAGGAATCCTGACAATACTTTGGGACATACTGTTTATAGGAAACCCACACATACGGATAGGTATCTCAATGGTAAATCACACCACCACCCTGTACAGTTAGCTACCGTTGGTAAATCTTTGTTACAGAGAGCACAACACCTTTGTGATGCTGACCACCTAGAGGCCGAGCTGCAGCATGTAAGACGTGCTCTGACCATCAACAGCCTGCCCGTGCCTCGCCAGCATCGCAAGAACCAGATGAAGCCACCTACAGTTGAGCGACAACCTGCAATTCTACCATATGTAAAGGGAGTTACTGACAGAATAGGCAACATCTTGAAGAAGGTTTCAATCAAGACTATTTATAAACCACATAAGAAAGTGAGCCAATTCTTGAGACCAATCAAGAGTAACATTCCTTTACAACAAGCGGGTGTATATAAACTTGATTGTGACTGTGGCTTGTCATACATCGGACAGACAAAGAGAAGCATCGGTACAAGGGTTAGGGAACACATTTCAGACGTCAGGAATAGGCGCGCGTCGAAGTCAGCAGTGTGCGAACATGCATTGGACAAACCAGGCCATTACATTAGATTTGATAAACCACAGATCCTCGCTCGTGAAGACAGATATATACCAAGGTTAATCCGCAAGGCTATTGAAATTAAAAAACACCCAAATTTCAATAGAGAAGATGGCTGGAACCTATCAAACACCTGGGATCCTCTTCTTAAAAATATAAAATCCCATGTCCGTGACCACACCACAGGACCTCGAGACACCGTGAGCGCATTTTGCCGGCATCCAGAGCGGTACGAAAGACAATTAAGAAATCGATGGCGGTAGGAGATAAAATGACCAGACCAACTGACAGACACTCACATCTCGTCTGCCCGTGATCACGGTTGCTGAAAAGTAGCCGAAACGTCGGGAGTATGTAGTTTTTAAAAATAAAACGCGAAGTAAAAATCCGAAAATATTAGTTTCATTTAAATGTGTACTCGCGAAAATCTTAGATCTCATTATCTTTTTATTTATATTCTTGTCATTTTAAATTTCATTGTTAATTAATCTTATTTCAAGTGTGTGTCATAACTCTACAGCACCTATTTCATTCATAGACCTACATTAATACTATGTATATTGATACTTATGTGAGAGGATTTATGAATGACATACATATTTTAAAAGCATCTTGTGTGCCTTTGCGAACTTATATGTTAGGTCATGTATAAATGATTATATTTCAGAGTGCCTAGGTCTGTTTCGTAACAGTGTTAGAATAATGAACATTAAAGTAAAGAATTCTTAACAAACATTTTTATTTGTAAACAAAACAAAATTTTAGACTTTATTTTGTTTCAATAATAATTCGGTAGCCGCATTTGGCTTTTAAAAAGCTTTAATTTAGGGGACGTAAATAAAACTAAAATCTCTATTCTTGCAATTATTATAAAATGAGTCACTTACTCATCGATGTGAGATCTAATGACAAAGACCCAAGACCAGTTCTATTTGACAAGACCCTAATCTAATTCGAAGATCCTTTTTCGTTTAAGTACTCTTGGGAGGAATAGTCACATAACTTTCCGTAACAGGTGTTCGTGTTATATTATACATGTGATGAAATTAAATAAATCTTAACTTTTGTTTTTATACCTGCCCTATAATTATTTTACAGTAATCAGATTCAAGGTACAAGCGTAATCCAATATTAGCTAGTTGAATATTAAAATATAGTCAATATTATACTGTTTTATTCTTGTGAAAATTTCAATTGAATATTTTCTTTAACTTTGAAGAATTACAGATAAGATAGTACACAAACATTTTTGGTTTTTTACCAAAAGAAACTAATAAGTTTTAAGATTGAGGTTAAGCCACAAAGCCACAAGTCTGCTTATCTAAACTCCAAGAAACTCGTAACACTTTTGTAATTCAAAGATAATTAACAAATTATAAACTTTTAATACATCTATAAGTAAAAGGGGTAATTTGATAGACATTATAAAGATTTATCTGTAAATTGGTGGAACATAAAAAAACCTAGTTCAGCTAAAAGTTATGTTACAATTTTTTTTAACGCAGCTTTAAATCAAATTTATTGCAACATATATAAATCTCAGGATAAAATAATAAAAAAAACTATTATATTACAAATTGTCCCTTTTGCCTTTTAAATAGGCTCTTAATTTGTTTGACTTTGATACTCTAGAATTAGTCACTGTTTACAAGGTATTTTCACCACTGCTTTTTAAAAAGATTTTTAAGATGCTTAATGTAACCTCGTTGTTTGAAGTAGACAGTTCTTTTAAGCTAACAATAATATGAAGTTTAGAGGTTTGAATTCTGAACTGGATGAGGGCAAATAATGATTAGCTATCATAAAATTCAGAACGTTGATTGCAAGTCAGGCTAAGGAAATTCGTATCTTATGACAAGGTGCAGTTAAGTCAAAAAACCATCAATCAAGTATTTCTGTCATGTAAATTTAATTTTCTGATTACTACATACGCGTTATTATATTATTTTTAAAAACTACATATTCTCGACGTTACTTTTACTTTTCACCAACCGTTATAACGGTAAACATCTTTTCGACCATTAAAAATAATAAAATACTCGTAGTAATCGGAAAAATAATAGTTTCATTCAAATATTATTATTAAAATTCACAATGTGATCACTTTATGACACCATAATCTTAATATATTGATAGGAAATACTAGTTACCTAAGTAACTTTCTAATTTACTAGAAGTTACCCAAGTAGATTCTTAGGTAAGTATCTTTCATTACCTTAATATCATTGAACATAACGCTTGTTTCAACGATCCTTTCATCCACAACATCTCTGTCTTGTATCAGTCGGTGTCTCATGGCTGAGATGACTGTGTTGTTACAGTTTGGTTGTTTTGTACAATCATCATATATGTAGGATCTTAGGTGGGCCGATGACTTCTTACTGAAAATTTATTGTATTTATATATATAGGAAACTTTGAAGTAAAAGTTGTATTAGCTATTAATATTATATGTTAATTAATGCCAAGTCAGTATGTTGGGTGTTCGTAAATAAGTTTACTCATTCAATTAGTTCACTCTGAAAGTCCTGAATTGTATTGACTTTGAAATTGAAATTCACTATTTTGGAAAGTTAATTATTATATTCTAATTGAAGTAGAACATGTCTGTTACCCTATCGCATGTAGCATTACGGCCAGCAAGGGGGGCAACTTACTAAATCATCGTCATCATCATTTTCTTCATCTGATTATTCTGGAATTTAAAAGGACATTTATTAAATTTACAACCCTATTGTATATGTTTAAAACTTAATTTTATATGACTATATTATTAACCTTTCTGTTCGACGTCTTGTGAATCAAAGTCGTCAGTCATATTGACTCCTCTTCTTCCTTGCAATCTTTATCTTGTTCGTTCTTTTCTTCATCCGGTTTATGCGCGTCGTCCAATTGATCCTTTGAAAACAAAAGCAATAATTTTTTTGTGTGTAATAAATTTTGTGTACAGCGCTAAAGTCAATGATCTTTCAATAATTCTATCTATCCCTTTCCCACACCTGGTTTTCTATGCGTTCAGAGACATCTTTTTGTCCCTCTCCCTCACCAAGTCCCATACCGCTGTCTCCAGCAGTGCCTTCTCCCTCACCCTCCTCTGAATCTAGTTCTGAGTGTTGGCAGAAACTGTAAGGAAATAAAGGAAATTTCAATTTATTACTTGACTAAAACATTCTTAAACAATAACTTATTTAAGGATAATCGTAAGTACAATATGAATTAAAAAGCTTCAGTGGAACAACTTATTGACATTATCTAATTTGTGGCAATTTATGAAAGTTTTTATAATATTTTATTAATTTTCTGTACTTTAGATATTTATAAAGTTTTATATTTAAATGCAACCCCAACTTATTCATTTTAACATTGTGGTATATTTTATTTAAATTGTATCGATTTAATTACCCTTTCCATGCCAGATCCAAGAAAATCTTCAAAGGCACTAACAGTATTTTACAGGATACTCTATGCACAGCATCTTTTTGGGATAAAAAATATTGGACAAATAGTATAACTTGCTCCAATATCGGTACCAATCTCATAGCAACCGTTCTAGCTTCTTCCATATCAGACCGAGTCGCAATACATTGCACATAGTTAATCAAAAGTTAGCGCAATTTTGTAACTAAAGTTTCCAATTGCAACATTCTTGAATCAGGCGAAAGTTTCTCTTGGAGTAATTCTTTTAAATGATTATCTTCTAAAATTTCTTTGGTTTCAACTTTTTCACCTTCATGTATAATTTCATCAATAGCGTTTATAACGTCCATATTCTCCGCTTGTTTCTCTGGCGGCAGATGTTTTTTGTACAACGATTGTATCACGAGTAACATCGTAGCCACAACATCTTCAGTCTGCTCTAACATTGTGCCGTCAGTTTCATCCATTTCTTGGTCTATCGGTTCATCCAATTTATCAAGTTCTGTTTTTATATCTTTAATGTAAGCCACCATATTTTCAAGGCTTCTTAGTATTGGATGATGCGGTGGAAGTCTTCTATGACCGTCGTTTTGAAAACAAACTCATATTCGGTAATAATTTCCTCACTTTTTTCTATTATAACGTCCAAATTATTCTTAACTTCTATATGACTTTGAGAAACTAGAGGTAACTTAATGGATTCTTCGATTTGTTTTAGGTTTCGAGATAATTTGTTTAACAGTGCCTTTTGTTTATCAACTAGAGATATAATTGACTTAATTTTTTTATTAAGAGACTTCCATTCATCGCTATCCTTGAAACAATCAGCCAAAGGTGAGTTTGATAGCACTTTGTCCAAATCTGGCTCAGAGTCAGTATTCAAATGTTTTTCCGGAACAGACTTCAGAACGACATTGAACTGTTCTAGAAGAATGCTCGTATGAGCGTAGCATTCCACTAACACATTGAGTATTTCTTCAAGCGAAGTTATATAACATCCTGTACAGTCTATTTCTAACGCGTTTGTAAGACTTGTAGCTACGGATCGTAAATCGAAAATATGTTTCGTATAACGCGAAATCGACTTCTTCTGAGTTTTAGTATATTTCTGGAAATAAAATGTATATACTTAAAATTTTAGCACAAATTATTATTTAACACTATTTATAATGTCATAGAATATCAATATAATGCGGATTTAATTTCTACTTCTATTATATCATATAACTGTTACACTTGTAACAATACACTTATAGCAAAAAGAAATATAAATATATACTTTACAAATAACAAAACATTGGTGATCACACAAAAACATGGACAAAGTCGAATGCTTTTGTTATATAGTTGTAAATACCTGCTTTTCAAATAGCTCATAGCGGCATCCCAATCGACGGGTAGTATTGTGAAATCATACATGTATAACGAGACCCGTGCGATAATTCAAGCCGAGTTTGTTCAAATATTTGAACAGATCCGATAGAGCTTTACGCTTCTGCTGCGTTATGTTTTTGGCTTGAGATTTTTCTTTGTCCTTCGGGAATGTTGAATCCACCTACAATATAGAGTATTATTATTAAAATTTTGTATTTGATACAATTTTAGCAGTAAACAATTATCGACAGCCGTTTGCAATGACTACAGTATGTTCACTTTATTATTTATGAAGACATTTTTTTTGGATATATGTAAGTCTAATTTTTAGAAATTATTTAAATGAAATAGAAATGACAATTCACATTTATATAAGAACCAATACAGAAATTGAAAAAATTTTACGTGTATAAAATAAGTATTCGTTATAGAATTTGAAAAAAGAATTACCTCCAAAGATCCTAAATGTTCAC